CGGACCACGCCTCCATTGGTGTGATGGAGGCAGGCAAAGCACTGTGGGTGACCCTGTTCTTAACCCACACGACCCACATCAATGCTTCACCCCACAAGCGAGCAGGGAGACCACTGTCGACCAACAATGTGCGAATCCCCTCTGCCATCGTCCTGTGCCACCTCTCCACAACCCCATTCTGTTGCGGTGTATCTGCGACGCTCAATTGAGTTTTAATGCCAAACTCCGCCTTCCATGCTTTTACAGCTTCCCCCAAGAACTCGCCACCCCTGTCCGAGCGAACAGCCTTCAGCTTCCGCCCACACTCCAACTCCACGTCCTTATGCCACTGGCGAAGGAATTTTGCAACTATGGCCGATTCCTTGTTGGGGAGGGGGAACGACCAAACTCGTCTGGTGAAGTCGTCAATGAGACTGAGGACATACACCGCTCCTCCCAGTGATGGTGTGCGCACCGGCCCCCACAAATCCATGTGGACCTCATCCAAAGGCCCAAGTGCCCGAGACGCCTCATGGGGAAACGGCTTCCGAGCCGACTTTCCCAATAAGCAGGGCTCACATGGGGAACAATCAGTGTTCCCCCCCCCAATCTCCAAGCCCAGTACACTGTTCCCCCGAGCCATCTGTTGCAATGTTGTGGGGGCGGTATGACCAAGGCGGCGATGGGCAAGGGTCAATGGGGAAAATGAGGAGGACGACTTAGCTGCAAGAGCACTGCCCTGTGTGCCCTGAGCAAGAGGAAGAAACATCCGCACCAATCCATGGTCCCTTCCCCTCTCCTTTTCTCCAATCGCCAACACCCGCTCCCCCCGTTGAAGGACACATCTCTTGCCTTTGAATGTGACAATGACATCTCGAGAGGTGAGGTGTGGGACTGACAGCAGACGCGTGTGCATCTCAGGCACAAGGTGGACCTTTTGAATCCTCAGCAGCTGACCTCCAGCACCAACCACTGGCACCTCACCCATGCCAACAACTTTCATCACCCGTCCATCTTCCAATCTAACTCCCCGAACCTCTGGTGGTTGAAGCTTACTTTTGAAGTCCGATGCATAAGGAGTAAAGTTGTGGCTGGCCCCACTGTCAATCCACCACCCCTCTCGCGGCTGCTCCTCTCCCACTGCTGCAACTGCTTCTCCAACCACTGCCTCTGCCTTGTCATCCTGCTCCTCCTCATCCGCCACCTGTGCCTTGCCGTTGGACCCACGACCCCCCCGCTGTAAGAATGCCGGAATGCCTCCCTTAGGTCGATGAGGACATCGCTGCCATGCATGTCCCTCATCCCAACAGCCATGACACAACCCCCGAGGAGCCATGCCCTTGGACCCCCAAGGGAAATCAAGCACTCCCGCTTTGCCTTTCCCTTGACCCCATCTACCCGAGTTGGTGTCACTGCTGCTACCGCTGTCTCCATGCTTTCCTCCCTTGACCCAATTTCCCCTGCCGCTGCTGCCCACTTTCGTACCCGCTCCAAATGTGGCTACACCATCCGATCTTGGTGCGACACCAATCCGCATCTCCTCGCTCCTCAAGGAGGTAAGCAGCTGATCCTTAGTGAGCGATGATGACTGGTTGTTCATCACCACCTTCAGCATCTCAAAGTGAGGAGGTAGTCCTTTGAGTATCCTCATCATCCACTCCTCAACCTCCTCCTTTCCTCCTGCTGCCAAGTACTTGGACCTCAAGTCCTCGGCACGCGCCCAGTATGCAGCCACCCCCTCCCCCTCTTTCATCTTCAATGAAGAGAGCTCCTCAAAGAGTGCCATCCGGTTACACAATCCACGCTGAAGGTAGAACTCCTTCACTCGTATGTATGCCGCTGCTGTGCCTGCAGGAATTCGGGTGACCGCTCTTGCTCCGCCATCAACAGGTGCGCTGCCCAACTCGGTCTTGCCGCCGAACTCCCGTACCAAGCGAATTAGCTCATCTGGCACCAAGGCATTGCAGAATTGAGCGAATGCCTTCTGATTTTTTCTCTCCCACTTCAGCCGTGCGTCACCCGATGCAGGCCGCTCCTCCGAACCATCAAAGTACCCCCATAGATCGTGTGCCTCTGCCCATTGTTCGAATCGGAAGCTCCAAGTCCAATAGTCGCTCCCGTCGAACTTTGGCGTGCTCTCCAGCTTCCCTTCACCTGAGTCATGATCCATTTGCGGCAGACACTCTGGAGATTGACGTTGAGGTGGTGGTGGAGGCAACGGCGGCGGTGGTGGAGACGATGTGGACAGATTTGCCCCCTCTTGGTTTTTGGAGCGTAACTCCGCGCTCGAACCTCCGAATGATGAGCCGTTTGTCTCAGATGAATCTTTGCTCCAAGACCGTTCCGATGATGTATCGCGCTCCTGGATTCCGCTTCCAAGCTGTCCGCTTAAACTCGTCGAAGTTGGCCGATTTCCCGTCGACGAAGACTCAACCGTTTCTCCCGATTTTTGGCTTGTTAGATGCGCCCTGGCCTCCTCTATTGGCGTCTGGCCTCCAATCTTTTTTCCGCGCTTTAAATCTTCCCCGATTCGCGATTTTTCAATTCGTCCGCCGGCAGTTTTTCGCGAATTGCGTCCGATCCCCTCGTCGATTGGTGACGATCTTGAGGCAACTGTTGTAGAGCGTGCTGAGACCTTTCCAACGGTATGCTGCACGTTTTGATCGGCCAAAGTTGACTGAGCGCCTCCGTGGATGGATGCCGCTCTTCTCGTCCTCCCAAACGGATCTACACGATTTCCAGCAGTTTTCTTCTCTCCTCCTCCCCTCCCACGTCCAGAGTCCGCCACGGTGCAATTTCGGCAGCCCTTCGGGAGGAATGGAAGCTAACTAGCTTCCACCAAGATCTTATGGTCCAATGTCTTGAGTAACTCCTTTTCCAACAGATTGCTAGGCCTTCCTTGCTCTGATACCATATTAGAATGGACTAAGATACTAGCGGAAGCTTTAGTAGTCTTAGAACCTCCTCTTAAAGCCTAGGAATCTTAGGAGCCCACTTGGGCATGAACCATGCTAGAACCAAAGTGGTTTCCAAAAGTGAAATGCCAACAAGAGAGAACCCTAACCTATAGGGTTTGGGAGGTGGTCCACTCTAAAGAGTGTACACCACAAGTTCTCCCAACCCAACCAATGTATTCTACACTACCATAGTGTAGATGTACCACTACATATGTTTATTGGAGCAACCCGAATTAACCTTAATTCCAACATGTCTATATGATTGTAAGATGGTATATGGTTTGGTTCTGTCTAAATATTCGTGCAATATCTTATGCTCATGGCATGAAGCATCATGTGTTTGAACAATTGAGAATAATTAAAGCAAGAGGTGAGAAAGTATCTTCACCATCTCAACAAGTTCAAATCAATGGCCATAAATGAACAATGTAAGATACATAGCAACGATGTTGAAACTCCTGGTTACACTTCCTGACTCGTCGCTGACACAAACGGGGATCCCGTGACTGCCACGCCAAGCTTCAACTTTGGGGAGGGATGCGTGACCAGACGGAGTGGAGCCGCGCGCGTCACAGAACATGCTCTGGAGAGTCCCGCGCGGCACAGAGCATGCGCTGGGGAGTCCCGCGCGTCAAACAGAATACCCTAGGGAGTCCCGCGCGCCACACAACACCCGCCCTCCAGTAGGAAGAAACAGTTTTTCCTTGCATTCAACCCTAGTCCCCCGAGGTTTCTGTTCAACCCACCACCGACGCGAGCCATTGAGTCCGACAGCCATTCGAGCTTCTTCCGTTCACCCGCAATCTGTGTGACTTGGGGAATCGCAAATTCTGTTGTCATTAGGGCCTAGGTCCGAAACGCGCGACCTGGCTTCGTCGTCCGCGGGAAGCTCACAAGCTCGTATCATTCGCCATGGCTTCGTCCAGGTCGGCTCGTTCAAACAGCAGCCGCCCTTGCATTCCAACTCTCGTCTGTTCTCGCAGCTACAAATGCAGTTATAAATGCAGCCATTCAACAGTAGTTCACCAGCAATCCACCAGCCGTCCACCATAATAGCAGCCTCGTTAGACGATAAGAGGCCTTCCGGCTTCTGTCTCCGTCTGCCTGCCTCCCTCGGTCTTTCAACCAGGGAGCCGTTCCTCCTCTCAAATCTGTATTACCTTTTATTCTCCACTATCACACCCGTTGCTTCTAAGCTAGTGGCATCGATGGCTTGCATCAAACACTCAGTGCGATCAGGGTCATCATCCGTCCTCCTCCCGTTCCTCGTCGTCTTCCTCTACGCGACCCTCCTCTCCCACCACTTCCTCTCCGCCTCCGCCGCCGTCGCCGCCGCACACGGCCGTCACAGTCGCAGGAACCACGCCTCGACGCAATCTCGCGCTTCGACTGCGAGCGGTCCCGGATGGTATCGGAACCGCGCTGCCGTACCCTTTCAGCCCGCCACGCGATCATCATCCCGAGCCGCTTCTGCCGGCGGTCCCGGATGGTATCGAAGCGCCTCCGTGCCAGCTTCCACGCAATCATTATCGCGATTCGCTGCTGCTGCTGCGAGCGGGCCGTGCTCCTTTGTTTCCTGCCCTAAGGGCTGCACCTGCGCTGCTTCCGGGGGCGTTGCCAAGTGCTCGTGCAAAGGTGCGTGAGTGCAGCAATGATTTCTGAGACGCCTCAAGCTCGTCTGTTGCTAGTACTGCTAGTGCAGCAGCTGTTTGTGCAGCCGCTGCTGCTGTTGCTGCTGCTGCCAGCGGGCCGTGCTCCTTCGTTTTCTGCCCCAAGGGCTGCACCTGCGCTGCCTCCACGGGCGTAGCCAAGTGCTCGTGCAAAGGTAATAGAAACAGTACCAGGTAATTCGCTAATGCTGTTGCTGCTGCTGCCAGTTGGCCCTGCTCTCTTGTTTCCTGCTCCAAGGGCTGCACTTGCGCTGCTTCCGCGGGCGTCGCTAAGTGCTCGTGCAAAGGTGATTTCAATGCTTTCAGGTGTTTGCAATGCTTTCAGGTGATTGCAACAATTTCAGGTGATTGCAAAAATGCCAGGTGGTTGCAACAAGTCCCAGCGATCAAGACCATGGCAGAAGCGTCTCGCCATTTCCCCTCCCCCCCACATTACCTCGCGTTCAAGTGTGCACTGGTACAACAGTGTAGCATGATCTGCTAGTGTCCAGCCAACCCGCGCCCTCTTCCACCGTTCCTTCCCCTGTCTGTCTCCTTCCCCACCAGACCCGTGCTACGGTGTCAAGTGCCCCCACGTGTCCAAGTGCGCCTTGCAGGGCGGTGCAGTGGTGTGCAAATGTCCCGCTCCCTTCAAGCGTCTGATCAACAACCGGTGCTCCTCTGATGATTATCCCAACTCCGACTACCTCGACCCACACAATGCTGCCAGGGCTGCTGTTGGTGCCGTTCCCCTCGAGTGGGACGACGCAGGTGGGTGGCTTGAGAGTTGACTGTACTGACTGTGTTGACTGAGTTGACTGAGTTGACTGAGTTGACTGTGTTGACTGAGTTGACTGGAGGGAAACAACCGGTGCTCCTCTGATGACTATCCCCACCCCGACTACCTCGACCCACACAACGCTGCCAGGGCTGCTGTTGGTGCCGTGCCCCTTGTGTGGGATGACGGAGGTGGGTGGCTTGAGAGTTGACTGTATTGACTGATTTGACTGAGTTGACTGAGTTGACTGAGTTGACTCGAGGAAAACTGCAAGTGCTGCTCCTCCTCTGATATTCCCAACTCCGACTGTCTCGACCCAAACAACGCTGCCACGGCTGCTGTTGGTGCCGTGCCTCTCGTGTGGGATGGCGCAGGCGAGGGACTTATGAGTTGACTAGTTGACTCCAAAGAAGCAACGAGTGCTGCTCCCCTGCTGCTCTTCCCAACTCCCACTATCTCCACGCACACAATGCCACCACGGCTGCTGTTGGTTCCGTGCCCCTCGAGTGGGACGACGCAGGTGAGTGCTCTTTTACTTGACCCAGTGGCATCAACAAGTGCTCCCCTGCTGCTCTTCCCCACCCCGACTATCCGAGCATGGTGGCATGGGGGAGGGCGAGGGGCAGAACCTCTAACCTCCCTTTCCCCCCTTCTTTCCCCCTCTCCTCCCTCTTCCCTCCCCCCACCTCCAGTGGCTGAGAGGGCCCAGGCGTGGGCCGACACTCCCCGCGACGACTATAACTGCGGGCTGGAGCATGGCGGCATGGGGGAGAGTGAGGGGCAGAACAGAACCTCTCAGGCGCACCACACACACCCCCCTCATTCGCTCCCCTTCTTCTTCCCTCCCCTCCCTCCCCCCACCTCCAGTGGCTGAGAGGGCCCAGGCGTGGGCCGACACTCTCCGCGACGACTATAACTGCGGGCTGGAGCATGGCGGCATGGGGGAGAGTGAGGGGCAGAACAGAACCTCTCAGGCGCACCACACACACCCCCCTCATTCGCTCCCCTTCTTCTTCCCTCCCCTCCCTCCCCCCACCTCCAGTGGCTGAGAGGGCCCAGGCGTGGGCCGACACTCTCCGCGACGACTATAACTGCGGGCTGGAGCATGGCGGCATGGGGGAGAGCGAGGGGCAGAACAGAACCTCTCAGGCGCACCACACACACCCCCCTCATTCGCTCCCCTTCTTCTTCCCTCCCCTCCCTCCCCCCACCTCCAGTGGCTGAGAGGGCCCAGGCGTGGGCCGACACTCTCCGCGACGACTATAACTGCGGGCTGGAGCATGGCGGCATGGGGGAGAGCGAGGGGCAGAACAGAACCTCTCAGGCGCACCACACACACCCCCCTCATTCGCTCCCCTTCTTCTTCCCTCCCCTCCCTCCCCTCACCTCCAGTGGCTGAGAGGGCCCAGGCGTGGGCCGACACTCTCCGCGACGACTATAACTGCGGGCTGGAGCACGGCGGCATGGGGGAGGGCGAGGGGCAGAACCTCTCAGGGGCGGGTCCGGCTGGGTGGGCGTCGAACAATGATGCAGTGCAGTGGTGGGTGGGCGAGGGCAAGTGGTACAAGCGCCCGCCTGCTGTCTTCCCTGCTGGCTGCATTGGTGGTGACTGGGGCAGATGCGGTCACTACACACAGGTGAGGGGCAGGCAGGCAGAACCTCCTAGGCACCAATCGTAGTGGGTGGGCGTCGAACAGCGATGCAGTGCAGTGGTGGGTGGGCGAGGGGAAGCGGTACAAGCGGCCCCCTGCCATCTTTCCGGGTGGTTGCATCGGTGGTGACTGGGGCAGATGTGGCCACTACTACTTTTGAGACGTCTCAAAAGGTGGTGACTGGGGCAGATGTGGCCACTACTACACGCAGGTGGGCAGCGTTAGGTGACCGCGTTTGTTGCCTTCTCTTTAGCATAGCCTCAGAAGTCTAGTTTTGAGGCGCCTCAAGGCCTGAATTCTCTTTAGATAGCCTCAGAAGCTTGCTCAAATGTGCCTCGTGCATTGTGGCCGGTGTGTCTGTGTGTGTGTGTGTGTGTGTGTGTGCGCGCGCAGGTGATATGGAACAACTCGCGCCAGGTGGGGTGTGGCAAGGCGTCGTGTGGCGAGGACGGTGACGTGTGGGCGTGCAACTATTACCCTGCTGGCAACTTTGTCGGCGAGATTCCCTATGGTGAGTGTTCGGGTAATGAGAATTGCCTTATGATGAGCTTGCGTCGTGTGGCGAGGATAGCGACGTGTGGGTGTGCGTGCAACTTTTACCCGGTGGGCAACTTTGTGGGCGAGATTCCTTATGGTGAGCTGAGATGACAACTCCGCACTTCAAGATCTCCACTAGTTTTGAGGCGCCTAATGAATGATTTCTTCTTTTGAGTGGATTCCTGCTGGCATCTCTTCTCTTCTCTTCTTCTTCCGAGTGGACTCCTGTGCTGCTGTGAATGGCAAGTCATTCACAGCAGCACAGGAGAGGACTCGATACCACCTGCCCGCCGATCTGTGCTCATGAAGTTTACTCCTCTCCCTCGTTCACAGCAGCACAGGAGAGGACTCGATACCACCTGCCCGCCTCGAGTCCTCTCCTCACCCCTACTCCTCTCCCTTCTTTCCCATCCTATCTCACCCCTACTCCTCTCCCTTCTCTCCTCCCATCCTATCTCACCCCATCCCCCTCTGCAGTTCAAGACCCGTGCTTCCGAGCCCTCTTCCCCTCGTCTTGATACCCCTCCTCACCTTCACTCCTCTCTTATCTGCTCCCATCCCATCCCCCTCTGCAGTTCAAGACCCTTGCTTCCGAGCCCTCTTCCCCTCGTCTTGATACCCCTCCTCACCTTCACTCCTCTCTTATCTGCTCCCATCCCATCCCCCTCTGCAGTTCAAGACCCGTGCTTCCGAGCCCTCTGCCCTTCCACGTCCACCTGTGCTGCTGTCAACGGCAAGCCGGTCTGCCTGTGTCCGCGAGGGCAAGTGCTGGTCAACGGCAGCAAGTGCCAAGCAGGTGAGCATGTGGCGTGTCTTGGATGTATGGCGTGTGTGGCACTTGTCATTGGGTGGGATGACGTGTGGCATGTTGCTGCCAATCCCATCTGCCTGCCTGTGTCCGCGAGGCCAAGTGCTGGTCAATGGCAGCACGTGCCAAGCTGGTGAGCACGTGTGGCGTGTGTTGTATGTGGTGTATGGTGTATGGTGTATGGTGTGTAGCATGTGGCATGTGGGTGGCCTGTGCTTCCGTGAATGGCCATCCCACCTGCCTGCCTGTGTCCGCGAGGCCAAGTGCTGGTCAACGGCAGCACGTGCCAAGCAGGTGAGCACGTGAGCTGAGCTTTGATGTGTGTGAGAAGTCTCTTAAGTCCATTTTGTCTTTTGAGTCGACTCAAAAGCACGTGAGCTTTGATGTGTGTGAGACGTCTCAAAACGCTTTGATGTGTGTGAGAAGTCTCTTAAGTCCATTTTGTGCGAAAGAAGGAGACGTCTCAAAACGCTTTGAAGTGTGTGAGACGTCTCAAAACGCTTTGAAGTGTGTGAGACGTCTCAAAACGCTTTGATGTGTGTGAGACGTCTCAAAACGCTTTGATGTGTGTGAGAAGTCTCTTAAGTCCATTTTGTGCCCTCTTTAGTCCCACTGTCCATTGTGTCCCCTCTTTTGTCCCACTCTCCCTTACCAGCCTCCCTCAGCCCTCCCGTACCAACCTTTTCAGTTGTCTCGCCCCATGCTTGCAGAGATAATACACACTCACGACCTATCCCTCCCACCGTTCTCTTCTTCTCGTTTGACTTGACTCAAAGTCCCTTCGCATACCAACCTATTCAGCTGTCTCACGCCATGCTTGCAGGAGGTAACACACACACACGACCTAGCCCTCTCGCCTGTCTCTTCCCTTCTCTTCAACCCCTCCAATCCCTTGCAGACCCATGCAAAGGCACGGCTCCATCCCTTCCCTCCCTTTTGGATCAGTGACCTGTCCCTCCCACCTGTCTCTTCCCTTCTCGTCAATCCCTCCAATTCCTTGCAGACCCATGCAAAGGCGCGGCTCCCTGTCCCGGGGACTTTGTGTGTGATGGAACATCGGGTGCGGCCAAGTGTGTGTGCCCCAAGGGAACCGTGCAGATTGCACCCAATACGTGCCAGGGTGAGTGCTGTGCTGCTAAGATGGCGATTTCAGGTTGTTTTTAAGAGTATTACCAATATATATATATATATATATCCACTTCTGCCTCTGCTTACTGCAGGCTGATTGCAATGGCATCCCCTTTTGATCCCCTAGTCTCCACCACTCTCCACCCCTCTTCATCCCTACAGCGCCTTCGTGCAAGGGAGTGAAGTGCCCGGCCTCTGCTCGCTGCAGGGCGGACAGCAACGGCATTCCTTTCTGTGCCTGCCCTGCCTCCCAATCCCTGGTCAACGGAGCCTGCACGAAAGGTACGTTATTCTGAACCGCCCCTCCTTCACCAACGCACCTGCTTCCCTCGCTCCCATCGTGCTCCGAACCCCCACTCCTGCATCGCCCTCACTTCTCGCTCGTCTACCCCCCTTGTTCTCCCTTTTTTCCCTCCCCCACTTGTCCCGCCAGCCGGTCCCCGCACAGTCACCACCAGCATCGTTCTCTTCAGCCGCCCGTCCTTCGCTGGCACTCCCATTGTCCTCCGAGGCCCCACTCCCGACACCGACGACGCCACTGGCTGCGTCAACATCCCTTCTCCCATGGCCGGGACTGTGGGCTCCCTCAAGATTCTCTGGGATGCGCCTGATGGGGCTAAGGGGAGGAGGGTGGCTTGTGGTTTGATGTGGTTTTGGAGTGATGCGGATTGCTACGGGGATGCGTCGGGGTGGGACCGGCCGGACAACAATGTTACCATTGCCAAGTGAGTAAATGATTTGGTTGCATAGTGTATATTCTATGCCTCATTTGTTTTGGTTGGTAGTGGTTGTACCGTAAGTTGTATGTGTCTTGCTTGCCTGCCTTTTCCATGTGCTCTCTGCTCATTCTTGCTAGTGGTTTCCTGATTTGGTACATTTGTGTTTATCCGGACCCGTTTCAGGGCCACGGATGATGGAGCTGCTGTGGTGCGGGCTATTAGCTGCGGGTCATGATAGGACCAGTCGTTGAAACGTTGTGCCTGTTTTTGAAATAAATTTTGTTTCCAGTAGGTATCTCAAACATTTGCCACATGTTTTCCTGCTTAGTGCTATGAAAATAAATTGTGCAACCAGAGACACAAATTGTTATTTTACGCAGCCGGGGGAAGCTTCATGTGGGTACCCCCGAGAGGGGCCATCGCGGGGCGGTCCTAGTACCAGCCTGTCAGACTCTGATTGGCTGACGAATTCGTCCTTTTCCGCGAAGCTTCTCCCGGCTGCAGAGGTCGCTCGGCGCGCAGCAGTGGAAGCAGCAGCTCCTCGCGCAGCGGAAGGGCGGAGAGAATGGTTTGATGGGGACGAGGGGAATGAGGGAAGTGAAGGGGAAGGTGAAGAGGAGGAAGAGGGCGAGGAGGGAGAAGATGGAGAAGAGGGAGAGTGTTGTGCAGAAAATATGTCCCAGAGGGTAGATTCTCACCTGTGGTCTTAGAGGTTGTGGGTTCAATTCTCAGTATCTGCAGGTTCCATTCTCATTATGCTCCACATTACATGTCCACACTCTACCACACTCCACCACAGTGAAGTGTGGTCACAATTGGCATTGCCACCTGTCCACTCATCCCACACTCACCTTGCTGGCCTCTATGGTGTGCCATATGCTGTCATGTGGGCTGTTGTTCCAGCCTGGCCCACATGTGCAACATGTGGCCTCACTTGCTAGCTTGGCAAGGTTGGCTAGCCTAGCCCTCAGCATTGAGGTGCTGCAGCTAGCCTCAAGAGTTCAGCCACATATATGTGGCTTCCCACTTCACTAGGAATCATCCTTGACAAGGACCTTGCTCTAGTCTTTAAGACTTGTACCATTTTCTTGCTAAGGAGATTTCTTCTTCCTATCGTGCCCTAAGTTCACCGATCCACTTTCTTCAGAGAGGAGGAAGGAGAGGGAGGAAGAGTAAGGAAGATGAAGTTTAAGGAAAGCGGTAGTTCGGGGGGGGGGGGGGATAGGAGCGGGGGATTTGGATGGCAGTAGCGAAGGGGACAAGAGGGATAAGGAGCGGGATGTGAGTGTATCTGAAAGGGAGAATAGCGAGGGCACAAGGAAGAAGAAGTAGAGAAGGGAGGAGAAGGGGAAGCAGGGGAAGGACAAGGGACAGGAGAAGGAGGAGAAACGAGAGAGAAAGGGCAAGAGTCGACATGAGAAGAAAAAGAGAAAGAAGAGGAAGGGAGAAAAGGGAGGCTCTTCTAGTGACACTTCCAGGAGTGACAGTAACGAAAGTTGTGACTCTAGCGAGAGTGAGAACGAGGAGGAGAGGAGGGAGAGGAGGAGGAGGCGCAGGAAGAGACAGGAAGAGGAGAAGAGGAGGAGGAAAGTGAACAGAGAAGCAGAGAAAGTCCAAAGAATGGTGGCGGGGAGTGAGGGGAGGAGGCCTGCAGGAGGGACGGGGATGGGGATGGGGATGGGGATGGGGATGGGGATGGGGATGGGGATGGGGATGGGTGGGATGGGGGTGAGAGGAGGGGTGTTGGGGGCCAGCAGTGCAGGGGGGAAGGAGTATGTTATTGATGCTAGGGGCAACCGGGATAAATATGCCTTTGGCTCGTTGTATAGGTGAGTGGTTTACAGGATGGAGCATTGATGCGCTTTTCGTTTCATGCAGGATTTGACCTGGAAAGCATATGGTGGCTCGCGAAGGTGGGAGCATGCATGGGAGCATGCATGGGAGCATGCATGGGAGCATGCATGGGAGCATGCATGGGAGCATGGATGGGAGCATGCATGGGAGCATGCATGGGAGCATGGATGGGAGCATGCATGGGAGCATGGATGGGAGCATGCATGGGAGCATGCATGGGAGCATGCATGGGAGCATGGATGGGAGCATGCATGGGAACATGCATGCATGGGAGCATGGATGGGAGCATGGATGGGAGCATGGATGGGAGCATGCATGGGAGCATGCATGGGAGCATGCATGGGAGCATGCATGGGAGCATGCATGGGAGCATGCATGGGAGCATGCATGGTAGCATGCATGGGAGCATGCATGGGAGCATGCATGGGAGCATGCATGGGAGCATGCATGGGAGCATGCATGGTAGCATGCATGGGAGCATGGATGGGAGCATGGATGGGAGCATGCATGGGAATAGCATGGTCTTGACGTCTCAAAAGCCTTTAAGCTGCTGAAACACACAGAGGATTACCAGTTTCTGTCCGTCCTTTCTCCCCCGCCCTCCCCCACCACCCTCCTCACACACCACATCAGGTTAACTGTTGCCCGCTACATCGCCCATCCCACAGCCGCCACATCGTCTAACCACGCCTCCTCCCCCTGGGCTCTCGCCTGTGGTGCTGCCGGTTCCCCCTCCCCCATCCCTGTCCTCCGCGCCCCTGCCTGGGCCGGCCTCAAGCCCTCCAAGCACAGAGAGAGCGTGGATTTAGGATTTGGGATGCGGAGTTTGATGGAGCCTGAGTGGGACACGGTTATGGGTTCTGTTGCTGCTGCTTTTTCCGCGCAGGGGGGAGGGGGGGACGTGGGGGATGGGGGGGAGGGGAAAGGGGGAAAGGGGGGAAAGGGGGAAAAAGGGGGGAGGCCGTCTGGGATTGGGGCTTCAGCGGCCAATCGGTATTGGTCGCCCTGGAATGCCGTTTCCGAACGGAGCAAGGAGGTTCGGAGGGTGCGGTTCGGCAAGGGACAGCTGATGTAACTCCCTTATCGTCAACCTCTGGCATTCGCAAACTCACAGCTGCTGCTGCTGTGAGAAAGCAGCTAGGAGAAGAGGGGAGAGGGGTTGGTGAGGAGGGGGTGTGGGATGTGGGGGGGAAGGAGGAGGAGGACGAGGAAGAGGGGGAGACGTGAGATGAGTATGTGTTTCGCCGGACGAGGGAGTTCAACGAGGACACGAGGCGCCACCCGCTGGACGAGCAGCTGTGGCTGCGGTTTGTCTCTTTCCAGGACGTGGCGGCCTCGGGCAGCGGGGGCGGGCGACACCGGGCAGCGGTGATGCGGCAGGTGACAGAGAAGAAGGTGGCAGTGTTGGAGCGAGCGCTGCAGCACGTGGGGGAGTGCGAGGCGGTGGTTCTCACGTATCTCCATACATGCAGTGGGCGGTGAGTTTTATGCCCTCTCAGGTAGCATGGTAGCATGGTAGCATGGTAGCACTATCTGCTGCTTCACCCATGGGTGATTCAGCAGGTGAGTGAGAAGAAGGTGGCAGTGTTGGAGCGAGCGCTGCAGCACGTGGGGGAGAGCGAGGCGGTGGTTTTAACCTACCTTCACACTTGCAGTGGCCGGTGAGTTGGTGATCGGTGTTGCGGCTGGTGACAGAGAAAAAGGTGGCAGTGTTGGAGCAAGTGCTGCAGCATGTGGAGGAGAGTGAAGCGGTTGTGGGCGGTGAGTTTCATCCAACACGTGCAGTGGGCGGTGAGTTTCATCCCCCCATCAGGTAGTATGGGTGATTCAGAAGGTGACAGAGGAGAAGGTGGCATTGGTGGAGCGACCACTGCAGCATGTGGGGGAAAGTGAGGCGGTGGTTTTGACCTACCTTCAAACATGCAGTTGCTGGTGAGTGAGTGTGTTTCTTTCTTTCTCGCCAGCTGTGCTGTGTTCATTTTTAATGCGCCTCAAAAATAGACTCGGAAGAACATGGGTTGAGTGCACTACTGGTGATCATGGGTGACAGACAGGGAAGAACGTGGGTTGAGTGCACTACTGGTGATCATGGGTGACAGACAGGGAAGAACGTGGCAGTGTTGGAGCGAGCACCGCAGCACGTGAGGGAGAGCGAGGCGGCGGTGTTGATGTATCTTCACACATGCAGTGTGCAGCGGTGAGTGTAATGCCCCCGCAACACTGCCTCTGCTCCTGCAGCATTGCAGCATTGCAGCATGTGGTAACCTGGTAACGCATGATGGCGTCCTTGATAGTTGGTGACAGGGAAGAAGGTGGCAGTGTTGGGGCAAGCGCCGCAACGCGTGGGCGAGAGTGAGGCGGTGGTGGAGGGTAGGAAAGGGGATGACAGGGGGGAACGTGGCAGTGTTGGGGCAAGCGCCGCAACGCGTGGGCGAGAGTGAGGCGGTGGTGGAGGGTAGGAAAGGGGATGACAGGGGGGAACGTGGCAGTGTTGGGGCAAGCGCCGCAACGCGTGGGCGAGAGTGAGGCGGTGGTGTTGACCTATCTTCACGTGTCTCCCCCCTCCCCAATGATTTTCGAGATTTCTTAAAAACCGCTCACAAGGGAGAGTGAGGCAGTAGTGTTGACCTCTCTTCACACGTCTCCCGCCTCCCCAACACCTTTTCCCAGAGATGACGCAGCCGCACTAGATGCCACGTGGCGCAGCGCGAATGGCTGCAGCCCTGGCAGAGCGAATCTCTGGAGGGGCTACATCCGGTGGCAGAGGGGGCTTCGCATCGACTACTGTGAATTTTTGAACCGTAGTCGATGCAATGCAGTAGCAGCAACACACATCCCTGCTGCTGCTGCTGCTACTCTTCAATGCAGCAGTAGCAGCAGCACACATCCCTCCCATCCCCTCAGCTGTCATTCCCTCCTCTCCCCTCTCATCCCCTTTCCCACCCTCACACTCCCCTTTCACCCAGAGATGACGCCACCTCACTGGACGCCAAGTGGCGAAGCGCCATTGGTCGCATCCCTGGCAGTGCGAATCCCTGGAGGGGTTACATGCTGAACTCGCCGCGGTGCGGTGTCAGAACTCGCCGCGGTGGACATGCTGGTGGACTCGTGCCGCTTCGAGCACCAATCAGGGCACGCTAAGCTGGCAGTGGTGCTGCTGCAGGCCGAGACGGAGTACGCCGTCTAGCCGCCGCCCCTGCCCTTGTCCTTTTCTTCTGAGGGTAGCAAGTTGAGGTTTAGGGTGGGGGGAGGAGGAGGGGGGAGAGAGTGGGGGAGGAGGGGGGGATAGGGTGGTCTGCTTGGTTGGCTAGAGAGGAGGGGTATGTGATGGGGCGAGAGGGAGGGGGAGGTGGAGGTCGTGGGGATGGTGAGGGGAAGGAGGATGAAGAGGAGGAAGAAGAAAAGGAGGAAGAGGAGGAGGAGAAACGGGGATGGTCTGGATGGCAGGAGATTGTTAGGAAGGGAGAGGGTGGGGGAGAGGTGGCGAAGGAGGAAGAGGAAGAGAAAGGAGAGGAGCTAGAGACAGACAGGGAATCAAAAGCAGACAGGGAATCAAAAGCAGACAGGGAATCAAAAGCAGACAGGGAATCAAAACCAGACAGGGAATCAAAAGCAGGGGAGGAGGAGGAGGAAGACGAACAAAAGAACGAGGAAGAGGAGGAATATGAGGAGGAGGAAGAGGAGGAGGAGGAGGAGGAGGATGAGGATGAGGGTTTGCTGGAGGCAGAGCTGATGGAACGACTTCAAAAGGGAAAGGACGGGGCAGGTGGTGGTGGTGGTGCTGGGTGGCGGTGCTGCTGACGTGGCAGGCGAGGATTGGGTGAAGGACCCGGGCGTGTGGCAGCGGTGGGCGGCAGAGGAGAGGAGGAGGGAGAGCAGGCAATGGCAACCAATGAGAGGTGAGGCACGAAAGAATGGGAGTGGAAGGAAGGGGGGTTTAAGGTACCTCATGACTGATTTCCAGGCAGACGGGTGAGCCTTTATGATTATAATTATGATTATGATTATTAGTACTAATGGGAGGTGAGGTGTGATGAAAGTTTCCGAGGCCTTGGCTTCCATGTTCTCTTGACCAGGCCATCCCCATTCCATCAGGAGCATGACGCAAGAAATAGGAGGAGGAGGAGCAGGAGGAGGAGGAGGAGGAGGAGGAGGAGGAGGAGGAGGAGGAGGAGGAGGAGTATGAGGATGTGAGGAGCATTGGAACGTTCAGAACCGACTCCGATTGTTGGAGCCGACTCTTTTTTTACCCACCCCTTGCTTTCTCTTGCAGTCTCCCTATCTGTTTCTTCACGACCAGCATCACAGAAAGGACAAAAGGATGAAGAGGAAGGAGTAGAGGACGAGGAGAAGGAGGAGCTAGAGAGGGTGGTGGAGTATGAGGATGTGAGGAGCGGACTCTTCTCCCATCCTGGAATGTCTCTCAATCAGAGCTGACTTTTCTCTCGTCCTCCCCTGGAATGTCTCGTTCTCTCGACTCAAAAGTCTCCTGGAATGTCTCGTTCTCTCGACTCAAAAGTCTCCTGGAATGTCTCGTTCTCTCGACTCAAAAGTCTCCTGGAATGTCTCGTTCTCTCGACTCAAAAGTCTCCTGGAATGTCTCGTTCTCTCGACTCAAAAGTCTCCTGGAATGTCTCGTTCTCTCGACTCAAAAGTCTCCTGGAATGTCTCGTTCTCTCGACTCAAAAGTCTCCTGGAATGTCTCGTTCTCTCGACTCAAAAGTCTCCTGGAATGTCTCGTTCTCTCGACTCAAAAGTCTCCTGGAATGTCTCGTTCTCTCGACTCAAAAGTCTCCTTGAATGTCTCGTTCTCTCGACTCAAAAGTCTCTTGGAATGTCTCGTTCAATCAGAGCTGACTCAAAAGTCTCCTGGAATGTCTCTTAATCAGCCGATTCTTCTCTCGTCCTCCCCTCGTGTTCCCATGCGTTCATTCCCCTTCCCATGACCAGCAACCGGGAAGGAGAAAAAAGAGGAGGAGCAGGAGGATGAGGAGGAGGACGACGAAGAAGAAGAGCTAGAGAGGGTGGTGGTGTATGAGGATGTGAGGAGCCGACTCTTCTCATCCATACTTCCCCTTCCATGCACCCCTTCCCAGCACTAGCAGCAGGGAAGGGGAAAAGAGATGAAGAGCAAGCAGAAGAGGATGATGAAGAGGAAGAGGAGCTAGAGAGGGTGGTGGTGTATGAGGATGTGAGGAACCGACTCTTCTCTCTGCACTCCGAAGCAGCGAAGCGACATCTGCTGCTTGCTGCTGCTACATTCTTTGATGCTCCCCTGCCGGCTTGGTGAGTGGCCGTAGCGGTGGGTTGTGGGGTGGTGGTGGTTAGGTGCTGTACCTGCTGCTTGCTGTTTCTCCCTTGACTCACTTGCTGTGTGCTGCTGCTGCCTTCTTTGATGCGCCTCTGCTGGCGTGGTGAGCGGCTGTAGTGGTGGGTTGTGGGGTGGTGGGTGGTGTGTCAGTGTAACAGAGAAACTGATTACCATCAGGGACAGCCACACCTGTGACGAGTAGAGCGTTTGTGAGTGGGAGAGGCCGCGTGCTGTCTGTGGTGTGAGATTGGGATGAGGAGTGATCATCTATAGATTTTTTTAGTCAGTTCTAAATGAGGGGCTGAGTGTTTCCGGAGCTGTCAACTGTGGGTAATAAATGCCTAGGAGTATTTATATATGAAGAAATGAGACGATTTGCATGTGCAAGCAACCCCTCATTTTTTTTTTTGGTCTTTTTGTGTAAATGCCCTCTCCGCGATCACCAATCCGCGAAAGCACTTTCTCTTTTCTTTTGGAGAGTAACGAAGCATGCTTATGAAGAGCACTTTCTGTCTCTTGTCCTCCCACCCAACAGGTGCAGCAGCAATGACAGCAGCTTCGTGGAAGCTTCAGGGTCGTTGGTCAGCGTTCCACAGTCCATCACAGCCCCCTTTAAAACTCCAACCTCTCAGCTTCCTCCTAACCCTTGTGCTGGTGCCGGTGGTGGTAGGGGTGTCGGTGCAACTGCTGCTGCTGCCTCTGCTGCTTCGGCAGGAGCATGAGAAACGGAAGCGGCAGCCGTAGGGGGAGGGGGGGCAGAAGTGGCAGTAGCAGAGGTAGGGGAGGAGGAGGAGGAGCAAGGGAACTTGGCCCGTGGTGCTGCTGTGCTTTCGATATAGCAGGCTTACAATTCGATATAGCAGGCTTACAATTCGATATAGCAGGCCCACAACCCATATCCTCGTGAGCAAGGGAACTTGGCCCGTGGTGCTGCTGTGCTAGACGCTCTTTCTGGAGGTCCTATGTGGTTCGATCGATGCATGGGGGGATGAAGGACAATGGAGGGGGAGGGGAGGAGATGGGGACGGGGACGGGACGGGGAAGGGGAGGAGGAAGAGGATGGGGGAATGGAGAGGGTGTGGTTTCTGCGTAACTTCCTGGAACTTGCGTGTCAGTGGATTCCGGATGATAAGAACCTGCAGGAGGCCCTGGTGGTGACGTCAGCTGCAGCTGCAGCTGTAGCTGCTACAGCTACTACAGTCCCCAGTGCACGTACACTGCCACCCCTCTTGCCTATTGTCTCTTACGAGCGCTACTACAGCCGGCACTGCTATAGCCGTGGATGTTGGTGCTGCAGTAGGGAAGAGGAGAGGGGGCACAGCAGCAGGGAAGAGGAGAGGGGGCGCAGCAGCAGGGAAGAGGAGAGGGGGCACAGCAGCAGGGAAGAGGAGAGGGGGCACAGCAGCAGGGAAGAGGAGAGGGGGCACAGTAGCAGGGAAGAGGAGAGGGGGCACAGCAGCAGGGAAGAGGAGAGGGGGCACAGCAGCAGGGAAGAGGAGAGGGGGCACAGCAGCTGCCATACAAGCCGTGCTGGAGCGAGCGAAGGGCAGGGAAGTTGGTGCCTCACAGGGAAGGCCAGGGAAGTTGGTGCCTCACACTCTGCTACAGATGCTGCTTCTGCTTCTGCTTCAGCTTCTGCTTCAGCTTCTGCTTCAGCTTCAGCTTCAGCTTCAGCTTCTGCTTCTGCTTCAGCTTCAGCTTCAGCTTCAGCTTCAGCTTCAGCTTCTGCTTCTGCTTCTACTTCTGCTTCTGCTTCAGCTTCTGCTTCTGCTTCTGCTTCTGCTTCTGCTTTAGCTTCAGCTTCTGCTTCTGCTTCTGCTTCTGCTTCAGCTTCAGCTTCAGCTTCTGCTTCTGCTTCTGCTTCAGCTTCAGCTTCAGCTTCAGCTTCTGCTTCAGCTTCAACTTCTGCTTCTGCTTCTGCTTCTGCTTCTGCTTCTGCTTCTGCTTCTGCTTCAGCTTCAGCTTCTGCTTCTGCTTCAGCTTCAGCTTCTGCTTCTGCTTCTGCTTCTGCTTCTGCTTCAGCTTCTGTGATTAACTTGCAACCCCCCTCTCCCTTGACAGTCCCCCTGCTTAATGTGATTAACTTGCAACCCCCCTCTCCCTTGACAGTCCCCCTGCTTAATGTGATTAATTTGCAACCCCCCTCTCCCTTCACAGTCCCCCTTCTTAATGTGATTAACTTGCAACCCCCCTCTCCCTTGACAATCCCCCTGCTTAATGTGATTAACTTGCAACCCCCCTCTCCCTTGACAGTCCCCCTGCTTAATGTGATTAACTTGCAACCCCCCTCTCCCTTGACAGTCCCCCTGCTTAATGTGATTAACTTGCAACCCCCCTCTCCCTTGACAGTCCCCCTGCCCCCCTGTGCTTCCCTCTCCCCGTCTCCCCTGCTCCCCATCCACCCCTCCGTACTCCCTCCAGTCCATCGCCGAAGCCACACCTCTCCTAGTGCTCGCACACACCCACATCGACCTATCCCTTCCCCATCACTCTTCCCAACCCCTTTGTCCGCCATCTCCCTGATAGAATTGGAACTGAACTGATTGATTAGGAAAGAAGGCACTAGGCCCTAAGTACAAACGAGGTTGGGATGGGCACGGCTAGGTAAAGGATGGGATGGGAATCCTAGCAAATCTCCAATTGGTGAGTTGGCAGATTTGCAGGATTACGAGGGAATCCCAACCAGATAGGGTTGGGATCACAAACTACACCCAACCCGCAAATAACATACGACATATAGAATATAGTACACAAAGTGTTGATAGCCAAATTCTAACACACCCCCTAGGCTGCAACACATCAGCCACAAGGAGGCCCGACACCCATGGCCGAGAGGAGGCGGTAATGATCCTCGCGAACAAGCGACTTGGTAAACAAGTCAGCAAGTTTGCAGTCGGAGGCAATGTGTTCAGCCTTCAGCTGCTCGCGCTGCACCAGCTCACGAAGAAAGTAGTGACGGACTTCAATGTGCTTGGTGCGGCCATGGAAAACGGGGTCTTTGGTGAGATGAATGGTGCTCTCGTTGTCACACCAAAGCGTTGGGGTTGGTTGGGGATACCCCAGTTCTGTCAGCAAGAAGGAGAGCCAACGAGCCTCCTGGGCAGCCATGGTCCCGGCATACAACTCTGCCTCACAGGTCGACAGTGAGACGGAGGACGACCGAGTGGAGCGCCAACTTACAACCCCATTGCCAAGGGTGAAGCAATACCCTTGGGACGAGCGCCGATCACTCTGGTCATCAGCATAGGATGAGTCACTGTACCCCTCAAGGCGAACTGGGGAAGTGCCGCCAAGTGTGAGCACGTAATCCTGTGTGCCTTTGAGATAGCGAAGAACCCGCTTGGCGGCAGACCAGTGGTGACGAGTGAAGCGACCAGGTGCAATGTAGCGGGACAGTACACTGACTGGATAGGCTAAGTCTGGTCGAGTGCACATCATCGCGTACATGAGGGATCCCACGAGCTCGGGGTAAGGCTCGTCACAGGGCTCAGGTGAGGGAACGGAGGGTGCAGTGAGTTGGTGTTGCAGAGAGAGTGGGGTGGGCATTGATGCTGCTTCTTGCATCTGGAACCTCGTCAGAACATTGTTGATGTAAAACTTCTACGAAAGGGTGATGGTGTGGGCTGTGCAATCACGTGTGATTTCCATTCCCAAATAGTTCGTCAGCTTCCCAAGGTCCTTCATGGCCAGCTTCTCACCAAGTGCGGTTTTGACTGCTGCCAGCTCAGTCTGATCCTTGGTGACAAGGATCATGTCATCGACATAAACGAGGATGAAGAACCGGGAGGTTGTTGCTCGGATGAAGAGGCTGGGGTCAGAGGTGGATGGGTGAAAGTCGAGGGACCCTAAGGTGCTCTTTAGCTTGTTGTGCCATTCCCGGGGAGCTTGCTTGAGGCCATACACTGGCCGATTCAGCTTCCATACTGTGTCTGGTAGAAAAGGAGCTGGAAATCCTTCGGGCCGCTCCATATAGATTTCCTCTCGAAGGATCCCTTGCAGGAACGCAGGAGACACATCCATGCAGTCAACCTCCATGTCATCTCGAGCAGCGACATCGAGAAGGGTGCGCAGTTTGGGAGGTTTGGCAGTGGGAGAGAATGTCTCAAAGAAGTCCAGTCCACGCCTTTGGGTAAATCCCTTGGCACAGTACCGGGCTTTGAAGACATGAAATTCGCCTGGAAGTTGTTTCACCCAAAAGACCCATTTTCCCTTCACAATGTTGACGCCGGAGGGATGAGAGACGTCTGTGAAAGTTCCTGTGTGAATGAAGGCCTCACATTTTGCGACAATGGCCCCCAACCACTGAGCGGCGTGAGGACCAGAGACTGCTTCAGCATAGGTGAGAGGTGTGGGGATGGAGGGGTTGTCGGAGAAATTGAGGGTGGGAGAGTTTGCGATGTCTGGAAAGAGGAAGCAGAGTGCGTGGATGGCTGAGTCGATATCAATCAACTCCTCATGTCTGTCTTCAAGGAGGGATGGCATGAGAGAATAATCACCCCCGACAGGAGGAGGATTGAGAGAGACGCGATCGGAAAGGGAGAACGGTTGTGGAGGTGTGCGAGAGCGGGTGCGAGAAGCTATGGGTGAGGGAGGCGGGGCCGGAGTAGGCGCAGCGGAAGGGGAGGTGGGAGTGGTAGGGAGAGTGGAGACAGGATCGGGATCAGGGGTGGGAGCTGGAGGAGGAAGAGCTGGGTGACGGCGTTGGTAGGTTTTGAGAGGAATTTGCTCGGTAGGAGGAGATGCGAGAGGAGATGGAGGAGGGGTAGCGGAGGAGGGAGGGGGCGAGGGAGACTGTGTGGTACTGGAGGGGGAAGCGGGTGATGGGGGATCAGAAATGGTGGAGGGAGCGGGAAGAGGAGGAGATGGAGTGTCGGGAAGAGGGAGACTGTCAAAGTCAGCCCAAGTAAGAGAGGGAGGCGGAGGAGAGGGGGAAGCCTTGGAGGAGGGGTAGAATGGGTGGGACTCATCAAAGTAAACGTTCCGGCTGCGATAGAGCTTGTTGGTGGAAGGATGGAGGAAAAGATAGTCTGGCGAATCTAAGTTGTGCCCTAGGTATACGCACGTGATCGTTTTGGGAGCAAGTTTGCCGCCAACCGCACGACGGGCTTGGGAGTTGAGGAGGACATAGGAAGTGCACCCCCATACACGAAGAGGGCGGACGGATGGCTTTTGACCCGTCCATAGCTCAGCGGGGGTGGTGTGGGTGTGATGAGGATGGGGATGGAGATTGTGGAGGGCGGCAGCATGAAGCATGGCGTACCCCCAGAGAGAGGGAGGGGCGGAGGCGTGCGTCAGGAGGCAGCGAGCAATCTGCACCAATGTACGGTTCCGGCTTTCGACAATACCGTTCTGTTGGGGACTGTCCGGGAGAGTGAAGGTCTGACGAATACCCTCAGTGGAGCAGAAAGCTTTGAGAGTGCTGTTGCGGAATTCACCGCCACCGTCAGAGTGAAGGACCTTGATGGTGGTTTTGAAGTGTTTGTAAGCCTGCTTCGCCCATTCAATGATGACACCTGGGGCTTCGGATTTGGAGGAGAGAAGGTGGACAGACACATAGCGGGAATAGTCATCAATGATGACAAGGAAGTAAAAGTGTCCACCGCGAGAGCGAACAGGAGCTGGGCCCCAAAGGTCCATGTGTACGCGATCGAGAGGTGCAACGGAGATGGACTCAGTGGGGGGATGGGGCAGTTCACGAAGCTTGCTCTGTGCACAGTCAAGGCAAGGCGGCCCTAGGGTGGAGGTAGGAGAGGGAAGTGAGGTTGGAAGCCCGTGGAGGAGTTGTTTTGTGGCAAGGTCTGAAAGCGCGCGAAAGTTTATGTGGCCAAGGCGGTGATGAAAGAGCATGGTTTTGTCGGAAAGGAGGCGGCAGTGACAAGTGGAGGAGTCAAGGGAAGGTAACGGGAGGTTTGTGAGGGAGCACGTTTGAATGGGAGGTACTACAAGCGTGTATAGGTTGTTGGAGTTGAGAGTGAAGCGGGCTAGATGAATGCCGGTTTTAGCGTCAAAGAGGTCACAGTAGTCGACATCATTGGGAAAGATGGTGATCACTCCTGCTTGTTGGATTTCACTTTGTGCCAGGAGTTTGTGGCGGAGGGTGGGGGCACAGATGCCAGTGACTGTGCCCGATGGAAATGCTGGACAAGGAACTGTGGAGGACCCATGGCATTGGATGGAGAAGCTAGAGTCGGCTCCGAGGAGTGGGATGGGAGCCTGGTAAGGAACGAACGCGGTTTGGTCTTTGAGCACTGTGTGGGTGGCACCACTGTCTAGTATGAACTCGATCCCTTGTGTGTTTGAAACACCGATGTATTGTGACCCCTTCTCATTAATAATACCAGCACCAGAGAACAACAGGTTGAGGCGAATATCAGATGGGGTGCTATCAACTGAGGGACTGGGCACCTCCATTGCCCCGACATGGTTCACGCGACGGGGTGGGGCCCAGTTGGGAGGGCGCTTGTTGGTGGAGACACCATGGACGTCGTACCACTCATCATCTCGCTTCTTGAAGCAAGTTGCCTCAGGGTGGTTGGTGCCTCCGCATTTCTGCCCCGCACGTGGGCCTTTCCTAATGATATAGGGGCATGGGGGAAAGGAGTTGCGCCTTGGTCCTTGTTGGGAGCGGAATGGGATTCCAGGGGTGTAGCGCACAGCATTGACGGATGCTTGGGCTGCAAGGTCCTTTTTGGCGGAAAGGAGAGCCGATGCGACTTTTTCGAAGGTGAGTTCCTTGGTGGGAAGTTGCTTGAGCATGGAGCTGGTGACATTGTAGGCCGAGGTCAGTCCTACAAGTAGGCCAGCTGCAGGTGCCTGTTCGGGGAAAATGATCCCAATGTCCTTGAGTTCCTCATGGATGTTGCGGATTTCAGAGATGTAATCTGCCATGCCAGGGCATTCCTCAAGGCGGACCTGGAACATTCGAGGGATGAGGATGGCAACACCCACTGCTGTCTTGTCATGGAAACGGTTCTGGAGGTACTTCCAAATCGCATGAGCGGAGCGAAAGGTGCGGTAGGATTTGACGAGCTCAACCGGAGTGGTGGTGATGAAAACCCTAATAGCTGCTGCATCTGCCTGCTCCCACACACTGAAATCAGTCTCGTACTTGGTGGTCTGAGCGTCAAAAGCGGCCTTCTCTGCGGCAGTGGCGCCTTCGCCAAGGGGATCGGGAGGGAGAGGCATCTTTCCCTTGCCGCGGTTGAGGAGGATGTCCTTGAGGCAAATCCCTCTCAGTTCCGTGCTAAGGAGGTGCTTCTCCACCCCATAGCACCATTCTCCAAAGTTGGTGCTCGTGCTGTTGGGAACGAGGTTGAGAACGATGAGGTTTCCGATTAGGGTAGAAGTTGAAGTCGCCATTCGCGCGGAGCGCAGCGCTAAAGTCAACGATACGAAGCGGAGCGAAGCGGAGCGAAGTCCGAAATGC